AATTGTCAAGCATTGTGAAAGAGCTTATAAACTCTTAAATATTTTATAATTATTTTTAACAACTTATAAATTTAGTCAAACACTCTCTAAATTTTTCTAAACTAAAGCAGTCAAACGATAAATATTTTCTCTCAGATAAATTGATGCTAAATGTCTAAATAATAATAATAATAAAAAAAAAAACAACCAAGCACTTCAATTGAAATGAAATAAAAAAAAATGGTAAAATACGGTCACAACCTGAGGTAAGGTCAAATTACGAAAACCCCCTCATGTTTGGGTCATTACAAATCTTCTTACACGTCGACCCTTGTGATGTCAAATTTAGTGCTAGATTAAGTGGAATATTTTCCAGTTTGTACCCGTTTTACCCCACTCGAGATCCACATTTTGAAACAAGATGATCATAAGATGTATCTTTTGGTTTGTAATTTGTAAATATCAGATTGTGATCCATCAGAAGCTGCATTTCTGCACAAAACGAGTTCAAATTAGAAAACATTCCACGGAATTTAGAAGATTCGGTTAAATTTGACACTATAAGAATTGACGTGTAAGAAGATTCATAAATGAATGACAGTTGTAGTTATCCAAACATGAATAATATTTTTCATAATTTTACCTTACCTCGAGAATAACCATAATTTACCCTAATAAATAAGATCATGTATGAAGTAGGGGAAAAAAAATTAAAAAAAGAAAAAGAAAAAAAAACCAAGTAGTAAATGAAGAAGAAGGTGAGGGGAAAGTGTAGTGAGAATGATGAATAAAATCAGCTGACAAAGAAAGTGGCCAATCCTGTAAAACATAACATGCCTCATCTCCACCATCACATTAGCTGTCAACCCACATCCATTTCATTTCATTTCATTTTTTCCCTAATTTTTTTAAATAAATAAAAAAAGAAAAAAAGAAAAAAAAAGAAAAAAAGAAAATAAAAAGAAAAGAAAATGAATATCCATTTTACCCACAGTTTCAACTTTCAAACCCATGTTTTTTTTTCCAAATGCCACCCAACCCAACCCAAGTTGCAACTTACCCCTCCCACAATTCCTTACACCCCTCAGCCCCACTTATTTCCATTCGAATATTTCTTTTTTTGTTTTTTTCGCATGTTTTGAATCTAAATTAAATATCCATTTTTATTTTATTTATTTGATTTTCAATCCGATTATAGATTCAAAAATAATTCTCAAAGATTCCGAGGCTATGTTAGGATGCATTTTTGTTTTGTTTTTATTGTTTCCCCAAAACAAAATGGGATTTATTACACTTTTCAAATTATTTTCTCAAAACAATTTCAAAAGTTTCTCTCTCATTCAGACATGATGTGACTGCTACAGTAAAATGATTTGACTGTTACAGTAAAAAAATGTCTTCACTAAAAAACAAATAAATATGACTTCATCTTTTAATTTTTTTCTTTAAAAATACCTTTTTCTAACAACTTTAAACATGATTTGACTGCTGCAGTGTATTTTGTCTCATTCCAAAATACAAACAAACATTACTTTCATTCTCAAATTATTCCCCCAAAACATATTTCCTCAAAATGAAATCAAAATAAGATCCAAAACGCTTCCAAACATTGACCAACTTTTTCTACATGCATGTAATTAATATTATTATACTTATATC